CGATTAACTTTCTAGGGGGGGGGGGCAAACAATTTTTAGTAATGTTTTAATGTAGTTTTAATTTACTGTAGCGTATTTGACAGGACATCAGATTAGTTACTTTCTCTTTACTTTCTCTTTACTTTAAAAAAATGTTTGTCTATTTTTGTCTAAAAATTGTGTATCCAATCAAGCCCCCTTCCCTTGCCTCCCCCCCCCCCCGCGGGCGCCCATGGCCTCAACGTTTATATTAAATTACAAAAGTGAAGGTAAAAAAAGATTTCTATCTAAATCTAGGTCTCAAAATAGTTAAAATGAGTTATGAGCATATTTCNCCCCCTTTCCCCCCCCCCCCCCCCCCCCCCCCCCCCAACCAAATCCTCCTTGGGTGTGTCCCGTTTTTTCCAGTTGATGATTTGGTCACCCTAATCTAATCTAATAACATCGAATCTAATGGTGTAACGTAGAAGTGGCCTTGACCTTGATATGACTTGCCCCTCGAGGGCAAACTTGATATTTGTCTGTGTCCTGGCAGCCCAGTCCACCCCTGTTACCAAATACCAACAAAAATTTGAAGTTTTTATACTCCCTGTTACTTATTTTGTGTTGGTAAAATATTTAATTAGCAGACATTAAAAAAATTCAAGTCTATATAGTATTTTTTTCTTTCTTCATTAATCGTTAGCGTAAAATGGTTAGCACGGCAAAGAAGCTCTAGTCATCAAAGCCAAAACAAATCTTCAGCTGCTGTAGGCCATGGATTCAACTCTGTTACACTAGTTACAGGTTACCATTATCTTGTATTTATAAATAGTAAGCAGATGTGCACGTTTCTCTCCACCTACCCGGAAATTATGCAATTTCGCTAACCTGCTGCCAACGCCGGCCTTACTTTAGGGAAAGTTTCGTCCTGTGCGAAGCACACGTTGGTGGGTGGGTGTGTGAGTGAGTGGGTGGGTGTGTGAGTGGGTGGGTGGGTGAGTGGGTGGGTGAGTGAGTGGGTGTGTGAGTGGGTGGGTGGATAGATAGATAGATACGTAGAGCTTTTTTTTTAGCCACCACCACTAAACTTGCCTCCCCTAGTATGACCTTGATATGGACGTCACCGAGTAAATGTTCCGCGTGAGCCTTCACACATTACTCCCTTGATTAGGTTGCGTTCGAATGCATTCCATTTGTTCTAAAGAATGCCATACAAAGGCGCAATTCCTATCATGGGCGCCCGCAGAAAACTTTCTAGGGGGGGGGGGGGGAAAGGGATAAATTTTCAGGGGGGGGGGGGAAAAANAAAAATCGATTAACTTTCCAGGGGGGGGGGCAAAAAAATTTTAGTAATGTTTTAATATAGTTTTAATTTACTGTCTTGTATTTGTATGGTGAACGAACGAACAGGACATCAGCTTAGTTACTTTCTCTTTATTTTCTCTTTACTTTAATAAATTTTTTGTCTAAATATTTTTTATCCAATCAATCCAGGGGGGGGGCAAGTGCCCCACCTTGCCCCTACCTGCGGGCGCCCATGATTCCTATACTTTCTTGACTAGATTGTTTGGATTTAATCCATAAATATATATGCGTTTTTGGAATAGTGTGTGTGTGTGTGAGCAGGGTTTCTTTCAGCTATATATATCCGGGGAAAGTTAAGTGCCCCCGGAGCAAAATGTGTTCACAAATATAATAATTATATTTATTTTATTTTTTTAAACGACAAAAATTTTCTTTTTTAAACATTTTTAAAATTATTAATATTTCGTTCCTTTAACCGATTACAATTAGTGGAATATATGAAATATCGCTATGCTCGATATATTTGATGATCAGTAGGCCTACATTTAAGTCAAATCTTGTTCAAAGCGCATTGTATTCGACTATAAATACGGCACTGGCCGCTCCACATTATAAGCCCACAATTTACTTCTTGTAGTTCGCATATATCGGTATTTTTATTCATTTATTTTTTAAACTTACGTTTAAAGATTTAAATAACACTGTATTTAATGACCTTTACATCAATATAAAGGTCTACAATTTTAATCAAAGTTCTTGATAAGTATAAAACATGCGCAATCTATTTTCAAATTATATTTCAGCATAAAAGCATGACTTTTAAAGTAGGACATCCATCTATCTATCCATCCATCCATCCATCCATCTATCCATCCATCCATCCATCCATCCATCCATCCATCTATCTATCTATCTTTATCTATATATCTATCTATCTATATATTTATCTATATATCCATATATCTATTTATCTTTCTATCTATTCATCTATCTATCTTTCTATCTAAGAAAGTCTTAACCCATTTCTATTTTGAAAATTAAATATTCGCTTGTGTAAAATGATGGGTTTGATATTCATGGGTACAATTGTGTAAATGTACTTACGCTTCGTTAACGTCATTGATTGTCTTAATTTGTAAAAAAAAGATATATAATTTATTTTTTTCAACTGTAATATCATTGCATTTAAAGATATTGTCATCCAAAAAAGATATTGTCATCCAAGTAAAATTTTACACACCCTTCTTCTTACCCCAGATATATATGAACCGGTACCTAAGAAGTTTAATAATTAATCAAATTCATTCTGAGGCGCATCGTGTGCTACCTTGGGCAAATGAAACTATCGTACTACTTATTACCCCCCCCCCACCCCCCAACAGAGTTTTAAAGAAATTAATAAAATCATCAACGATATTTTAACCCCCTTACTTACGCAAAAAACATTTTTTTGCCATTTTTACATGCTTTGTTCTTATTTGGATGAGTGATAAGTGCATTAGTGAATGCTATTTGGACATGTAGTTTCGCTGCACTCAGTGGCGTAGGTAGGGTTGGTGTCACCCGGTGCGGTAAACTCATGGTGTCACCCCCCCCCCCAAACTTCTATGATCAATTTTTTCTTGTTAAAATAAGTCCACAGTATAGCATCAACCTTGAACTTTTAATAAAGCACGCATTTGGATTGGTTACATTTGTGAAAAATATATGTGTGATCGGTTATTCTTTTATTTGTCTCGGTTTTTGCGAGCAATGTGTGCCCTATAAATATGCAATTTTTAAATCGGGTGTCACCCCTAAAATGGTGTCACCCGGTGCGGGCCGCACCCCCCGCACCTGCCTCGCTACGCCACTGGGCTGCACTGATTGCATTAAACGGCATTTTCGTATAAAAAGTTTATGTAAAGGTTAAGTTTTTTACTACTTTATAACTTTCATAAAAGTTTTTTTAGAAAGAATAAAAATTAAAAACGTATTGAATATATTAAAAATACAAAGGGTAAGTTGTATTAAAATTTTAAAAAATTTTATCCATTTAAAAAGCTATCTATTATTTTTTAAATTAATTTCACTTTTAAGAAAGGGAAAATATATTATCAGTTTTGTTACGCGTGGTTATAAAATCAAAGAAACTTAGAGCTGTGGCTAAAATAGGCAAATCGTGCTATGACGTCATTTGTGTAATTATTTATATCAAATAAATTTTATTTTTATTCCGCAATATTAACTACGCACTATAATACGCACTAAGATAAACAGATGTTTGGATTTTTCCGATAAATGTGATTAAGATGCAATTCTTAGGTCATAATATTTTAATTAATATTTTTTAAAATAATTTTCACATTCGGATAAAATGCTTAAAATAATTCCTTGTTTGATACTTTAAATTTATTTGTAATTTATAATAATAATACTTAAACTTTTAATAAAATAAAAGTGGATTTAAAATATTTTTTGCACATTCAAATTTATTCGATTTCCATAAAATAATAGAAAAAAACGATGATTTATTTTTTTAGGAATGCGAACGTACTTAAATCGTATCTCCCCTTTGGCGTTATGTAACTGTAACTCATTCTTATATTTTATATTTGGAAATTTTAGTGATTTAAAAATATGTTTGGTTTTAGAAACGGAACATTTAGACGTCCCGATAGACTTTTTCGGGACACCGGGTACGATCGTGAAAAAGCGGGACAATCCCGTTCTTTCGGGACGTTTGATCACCCTATGACTAAGCCTTCTTTCACTATTACATACATCCGTAAAAATTGGACTTAATTAAATCTTTTTCTTCTTCTATATATATTAAGGGCCCACGATCAATTTATTTATCATTTTGGCTCCTATGCATGTAGAGGGGATTTGCAATGTTTCTGTGCCTGGTGTTGATGAGGACATTTCAATGATTTCCAATGCCACTTTGTGAGGGAATCATGCAATGGGGGTTTGAAGGCTTGAGAAAATAGACACAAATGAGTCTAGTGTTGTCGCCTCAACTGTTCCTTTTGAAAGCTTGTTCCAGTCCCTGATTGTCTTGGGCAGGAATGAGCAGCTCCTATACTGGCTTCTTGCTGGTATGAGCCTGAATTGCCTGTCATGGCCTCGTCGCTGTCTATGGGGGAGAGGGACGAGTTTCTGTTTAATACTGGAACAGTGGACCAGCCCATTATTTATCTTGTACATAATGGAGAGCCTGGATTGTCGTCGTCGTTCCTCCAATGGTGACCATCCTAGTGTTTCCAGCATGCTGCCAACACAAGAGGTATTCCTGTAACGGTTCTGGAAAACGCGTGCTGCCCCTCGCTGGACCGCCCCCAACCTGTCAATGTTCTTCTGGGTAAATGGGTCCCAGACTGAAGATGCATAATCTAAAACCGAACGGACAAAGGCTTTATATGCTCTTTCTTTCACACAGGAGTTGCCAATCTTTAGATTACGCCTTAAGAACCCCAGGGTCTTGTTTGCTTGGTCACATAAATTGTTAATATGCTCGCCCCAGCGGACCTCTCTTTGAATGGTAACACCCAGTTAGGCCTACTTTACGGAGGAAACTGGCTCAAGTTTATGGCCGTGCAGTTCGTTTTGGTATTGTAGAGTACAACTTCTGGAGACTGATAGTGTCTGGCACTTAGCAGGGTGAAATTCCATGTCCCAGCTCATCTCCCACTCAGCTAACAGATTTAGATCCTGTTGTAGCTGGTCCTGGTCAGATCAGTTGGCAGTTGGCGATCGTCTACAGTCTACACCGCAGTGTCATCTGCGAACAGTCTTGCTTGGGACGTCAGTTTCTCGGGTAGGTCATTAATGTATGCTAGGATCAAACAGGGGCCCATGGGCGTCCGCAGGTAGGGGCAAGGGGGGGGGGCATGATTGGATAAAAAAATTTTAGACAAAAATAGACAAAAAATTTATTAAAGTAAAGAGAAAATAAAGAGAAAGTAACTAAGCCAAGCTGATGTCCTGTCCGTTCGTTCACCATGCAAATACGCTACAGTAAATTAAAACTATATTAAAATATTACTAACAAATTTTTGCCTCCCCCCTGGAAAGTTAATCGATTCCCCCCCCCCCCCCCCAGAAAGTTTTCTGCGGGCGCCCATGCAGGGGCCTGACTTCACATCTTGAGACTTCTCCAAAGCACGTAGAAGAAAATTTTGCCTTCCATGACTTACATTAACACCGGGAAATATATTTTAGTACAGAAACGTGTTTTTTTAAATTTCCGATTCTAAAAATATGGAGAATTCCCGATATTAGCTGAGTAAAAGTAATTCTTATTGTTAATTATTAATAATGTATGTATTATTTCATTTATATTATTTAGAGTTATAACTTATAACTTTAAATATATAACATTTTGTTTTTGGAAATTGCACAAAATCATTTTTCATACTCATACATTACAATGCAAGGGTTATGTTATATTTAAATTTAAGAAACACTATACTATACTCGATACTCTTAACTATCTACTCTACGTCTACGTCTACGTCTACGTCTACACATTTCGGCGGTCGGAAATTTGATTCCGTGTCTGTTACTGTTAGTACTGTTGGTTAGTGTTTGTTTTTTCACGAATTTCAATTCATTGAATCATTCCCATCATTAACTATAACTACCTACACTTAGTAAACTTCAAGTTCAATTCAAGTTTTAGTTAGAAAGTTTTACTAGCGGACTAGCGCATTTAAGTTTGATGTGTCGACTGACCACATATTTCCTTTGGCAGTAGACTAGATAGTCTAAGATACTAAGATAGTGTAGAGAGGTTGCCGAATATATCTTAGTCTTAGTCTTTGCAGCCAGTGTGAGTGAAATATCCTCATCAACACCAGGCATAGAAACATTGCAAATCCCCTCTAAATGCATGGAAGCCAGAATGATCAATAAATTGATCATGGGCGGCGCTTAATATATTGAAGAAGAAGAAGAGTCAGTGGGAGCAAAACATTTATTAATTTAAGTGTATAAGTATAAGTATGATGTATCGGTATGCTTATACATTTATAAATGTTTGTTTTTTGTACTGATGGAGGCATTTTCCCAAACGTCTACATTTGTATTTTTTAAAAATAATTATTAAAGCCTATCCCTAACATATATCATATATCATATATTGTTTTATTTACACAAATTGTTTGTGTCTAATTAATCTACTTTAAAGTAAAGCTTTATCGCAGTCCAACTGTATTTAAGAGTTAAGTAGGGAAAATCAAGAGTGTTAAAACTTATATTTATTTTAAAATGTTTTGATGGTCTTTATTTAAATAAAATAAATAAATAAAATAAACAGTGTCATGGAACTTTAGATAAGGAGACAGCAATACAATTTTAAGCTACACTGCACCATGGCATACCTAGGGTTAGGTTGTAAAAGGGGCACTATTTCGTACAACTTTGACTAATGTTAATGTTTGTAGACCTGTCTAGGACTATCCAATATTTATGACTATCCAAATGTATAATTTTGTTATTCAGATGTCAACAATATTTTTTATTATTGAAAAAAACACACATTCTATTTAGAGTTAGAGACTGAATATTTGAACCTGGAAAGAACATGTCAGCAGAAGATCAAAGTCACAGATCAGAATTTCAACATGTGTCTGAGTCTGTGCCATTTTGTAAAGTAGCGCTACATGTAATAAAAGATCATCAGGAAGTAACTGTTCACAAGGTAGGTTTATCAGCAATTTTGTCACTGAATGTTATTATTTATGACAGTTACTTGACTTTGCCACTCCCCGTTTGAAACAACCTCAATATAAACAAATAGAAGCAAGGGATTTTAGCCAGGATGAGCTATGGTCAATGTAAGTTATGTACTGGTACTTACAAAGCTTTTACTTTTGCCTAATTTTGAAAAAATGAGGCTGTCCATTTTTTATGTCAACAAAACAGGAGGAGGGGGGTTGGAAAAAACATTTGACAATTGTCAAAATAAATTGACGTCAAAAATTATATTTTCTTTGATATGTACAAAAATTAAGTAATTAAAACCATAAAGAGGCCTAGTTAATTTGTTGGAAAATGTTTGTCAATTTAATGGCTATAAACATTATTATAATTTCATATGGTCAGAACAGCAATGATGATAGTTCATTGAGGTTAAGAGATTACCATCTGCTCCTCAACAAAACAAAATAAAAAAATGTCATTAATTTGAGTGGCTGCCCAAAGACAGATTGAGGTGATGATAATTATTGAATATAGAAATTTCTGATATTTTAAGCACCGAATTCAAAATTATTAGATGAGACGAGCCAATTCCATAATAATATTACTATGGCTATTATAATTTAATATTAATATTAGTTAATACACGCCATAGCAAAAGAGGAAAATGTGGATTTCAAAATAAGAAGATAAAAAAAAAACCCAGTAAATTTATTAACAATAATATTTATACATTTTCAATTTTTAATAAATTCTGCAATACAAAATTGGCTCAAGTCAACAGAAATTTTTAAAAATTAAATATATTTGTATTTTTTTAAATCCTTTATATTTTCTTCGCTTTTTTTGGTGGCTGGCTGGCAAAATCTTCGAACCACTAATTTACTCACTTCCATCATCCTAAATAGCTGAAACTTGGCACATAGACTCGTTGCTGATGACAATATATTCATTCAAATTTTCAGCCCCACCCCCAAACCAAACAATCATTTATTCAAATTTTTCAAGGGAAAGATGAAGGAAGTAGGATGACACTAATTTCGCAAAATAAAATTCTGATAACTTCGGTAAATAAGATTCTTTTTAAAAAAATATTGAAAGTGCGTTTGGTGCGTAATATTTTCTTTTGTTTTTCTGGAATAGTGGGGGAAATAAATCTGCCTTGTAAAAGCGGTTGGATGATTAGAATATTAATATAGTTAAGGAATGTGAAAAAAATATGCAGTTACGAGCCTTGGAGGGAGGAACACTAAATGGGATTCGTATAAAGTGCGTTACTTGTATGCATGTTTTTCAAATTTTCAGCCCCACCCTCCATTGGTCCATATTACATTTTATAAAGGATTAATAAGAAAAATTTTGTTTTTAGGGGTTGTTTAATTCTTTCTAATTTCTATATCTTAAGTATTTAAAAGATGCCTTATTTAGTTTTATAAATATTTTCTTTGGTGGTGTGGGGAACAATTTTTTTAATAATTTATAAGAGGTTTCTTTTAAAATTTGACAGTAGTTGACAAGAAGGAAGGGGGGGTGCAAAAAATGTCTTTAAATTGTTGTCATAATTAATGGACGGCCTGAAAGGTAGGTTATGCATAACAGCTGTAAGGTCCCAAAATATACTTCTGTCAGATTGATTTTGCCTGCCATCATACAAGTTACCACATAGCTTGGCAAATCATAACAAAGTTATAGGTCCATGTAATCATCTGAGGTTCTGTCACTACTCATATAAATGATTAGGAATCTTTATAGGCATGCATTTAATAAAATAGCATAGTACATGACTTGTGAAAAAAAAAGAACATTAATGTTGTTTGTTAACTCACAATTAGATCTAATTCTTTCATGCTCTGTTCCCTCCAAAGGCAGACTTGGATACCCAAACTTTAATAAAGGAACTGAAGACCCAACTTAAAGAAGATGTGAGTATTTGATCTCTTAAAAATTAGATAAAGGAAAAGTATTATCTTGATGCACTAAAAATTGATATTTTTATGATGAGGTATATAAAAATAAAACTTACACATTTTACATAAATTATGAAAAATTAAAAAAAAAAAAGAAAAAAGAACCTAATGACAACATGATAAATATATTGAAGTTGCCACATTTTTAACTGATTTTTTTTAAACCCTTTTATTTTAAAAAATTAGATAAAGGAAAAGTATTATCTTGATGCACTAAAAATTGATATTTTTATGATGAGGAATATAAAAATAAAACTTACACATTTTACATAAATTATGAAAAATTAAAAAAAAAAAAAAAAAAAGAACCTAATGACAACATGATAAATATATTGTAGTTGCCACATTTTTAACTGAGTTTTTTTAAACCCATATATTTTTATGCCTAGTGTTCAAATATTGGAGCCATAGCCATGTGGGAGTAATTTATTTCCCGCTTACTAAGCCATATTATCACATGACAGACAGACTTTGTCATCCTAATGCAAATTTCCTGTTCTGAATGGTCCTCCAAATGTGATAAATTTTTTTCTTCACATTTTTTAGTGACCATCCACAGATAACCAGATATAACTTATTACTGTCCTACTTCCAATACTAGTATTTTAACAAATGTAACTTGTTTACTTGTTATGTTATCTTACTGTTTAAAGAAAAAAGTAAGCTACAGAAGTTATTATTCTTGTATTATTTATCGGTTTGAAATGTTGTATATTCCATTTTTTCCAGACTAGTCAAATCCTTTACGCTAGAACTAATGCAAGTAGAATTTTGCTAGAGCTGAAAATCGAAATCATAATTTTAAAGTTGGTAGTGTTGTCCATCTTGGTTCCGAGAAAAAATGACAGGAAGTGCTCACTGGAATGATCTTGAAAAAAAACAAATAAAATGTAAAAAAAACAACTCACTGGTGACATTGCGAGGAAATTTCACAGCAGTGATTATTAGCAAAATTATGTAATTAACAAAACTGAATAGTGGCAAGGGGCTCAAAAAGTCATGTGACTGATATGTTTAATGTTTTATCTCTTCCCCCTAGCTTTTTTATAACACTGTCTACACATTCATGATTATGTGGATTAAGAAAACTGGTACTCATGATTCAATCATAATTTTTTTTCTAATTTCAGGGTATTATTAAGAGTGACGATCAAGTTTGGTACTTGGATGGTACAGAGTTACATGATGAAAAATCCTTGGGCTACTATGACATTACAGGAGCAAATAAAATATATAGGGATCCTATTCGAATAAATGTCAATGTTAATACATTATCTTGATTTCCAAGTTAAATGCAAAGGGCAACTTCGTTTCAGAATTTTAACTTTGCTAATGCTAATGGGAGCTCCATCCATATCAAAATTCAGTAGACATTTTTCTCAAGCAGGCTGTATCAAGTAAGAGATGACCTTTGCTATTCAGTTGCTGTTTTTAAAAAAGAAATGTTTCAATTTTAATGCAACACCTTGCCATATTTCATCTGGCTAGACGAGTTGATGGTGTTCCAATTTATCCATCGATTTCTTTTAGATGAAGTGTAGTGGACATATCACTATGGACAAAACATAGTTTTAGGCTATGTCCATCAAAGCACTCTATGTGGCTATTGTCAAATACTATTTTTTTTTTTACTTAAGAGGCCATATCTCTCTCTCTCTCTCTCTCTCTCTCTCTCTCTCTCTCTCTCTATATATATATATATATATATATATATATATATATATATATATATATATATGTGTGTGTATGTATATATATATATATATATATATGTATATATATATAAATAATATAATATAAAAGTCAAATTTTCATGTGCTCTCCCTCTGGATGCATCCATACATTTTTGGACATCCCATGTGTATGTGCTTCCCCTGCACCCACCCCACAACCCCCCCCCCACTGCTATTATGTATTTATAGAAATATTATGAGGTATACGACAACTAATCAAAGACATGTAAACCGTGTTAGAATTATGTCACAGGTTGTTTTGTTCCCGCTGTCTGTTGTGCGTGGCCCAGTAGCTTTCCCCCGCAGCATTGTAGCGCCCTGGTGAGCTGTGGGTCATCGCAAAATATCACTGAATTTTCATAACCTTATTTCCACCACAACTACCAAACAATGTGTAGTGTCGCGACATCTAGCCGACCTGTTGCGAACCAGTAACTCACTTGAGTTATTTACTTCTTGCAGAAGCTCCCACGATAAATGTTTACTAGATGGGGGTTAGCTATGCACGTACGTTCTTAAATTAGTTTACCCAGCCCTTTACTTTAATAATTTTAATCATATTTATTGGCTATTTTGAAGTTTATTCGTTAGAATTTGACACAGGGTGCCCTGGGGGAAACCTAGATTCCGTAAGGGCGCCGAGAATGGAAGACGTTTAGGAACCAACAAAATGTTTAACCGTACATCGCAAGTGACATCAGACGCACTGAAACAAACAATGTTGAAAAAGTTGCAACTAATATCACTACGCTAAATATATCTTTTGCAATATCTAGCTAGTTAATTTGTCAAAACACCAAACTAGGGTATGACGATAATTACAAAAAAAAAAAAAAAAAAAAATAATTTGTCAAAACACCAAACAAGGGTATGACGATAATTACAAAAAAAAAAAAAAAAAAAGAGCGGTGATATTTTCATAGCCTTTGAACAAATTTAGAAATCATGGATATCCTTAGTGACGTAACTAGGCTAAATATAGACCGTAAGACTTATTGCAGATTTGCTTTCAATGTACACAAATATTCTGCCGAACCCCAATCACAGCCGGGGGGGGGGGGCGTGATGGCACACACACTCGAACACTAAATTCTAAAAAATCAACAACCCACTCACCCCCCCCCCCCTTTTTTTTTTCCAAGGCTTATATACTATATTGATGGCCCCTGACACCCTGTACTTGTACTGTACACATGCGACTCTATCAAAACATGATTGCACAGTTGCGGCGATGCGATTGTACTCTTAATGAATACTACTGGTTATGACAGGAGCAATTGTCATTGGAAACATATACTTGATGTGAAATTGAAATGAAATATAAAAGGCATACGCCGTTAGGCTATTATCACTGTCAATGTATAACAAAATATCATCATAGCACCCTTAAATTTAAATACCCTTTGATGACATCAATGAATTTTGTTGGATTTTTTTTTTTTTTGGTCTCTTTGTTTAAAAATTGATTTTTGAGTTGTCGATCTATTCATATTTATCTCCCATGCATGCTCACCAAAAACATTTGCTATAATAAAAGTAATAAAAACAAATAAAATATTGAAGGTTTATTTTGAAATATAAGACAGTGTGAATGTTTACACTTTGAAAAGTTTATAATTTGCTTTTTATACAGTTATGATTATTATTAATTATTTTGAACAGCGCTTAGAGCCCAGCCCTAGGCTGGGATATCGCGCTATATAAGACCACTGTAATAATATATAATACATAATAATAATAATGTTATACATTTATATTTAGAAAAGAGATTAATGAGGTTAAGCAACAGGAAATAAGTAACATAGGTTGAGAAAAAACCTGTACAAATATAAAATGGCAGAAGTATTGGCAAGAAGTCTTCTTTCGTAAATCAAAAAATAATTTTAAAATTAAAGTAAATTGACCTTATCTTAAGCTGTGTAGTGTTCGAGAAAACAGTTCAAAGGCGTCCCTATACTTCAAACATTGAATAGTTTCGAAAATAATTATAATGAATTGGGTGGTGGGATGGCTGTGCAGTCTAAAAGTGTGTCAATTCCAAGGTTGTTCAATTGGAGTTCATTCCCTTGGTGCCAAGCTGTATCATGCAACCTTGATGTTCCATTGAACTTGGATTACCAGCTGCTTGGAGAGAGATGGCACTTGGTGATTAGGTACCTAAATACATGATTCGCCTTGCGAAGTTGACACCTTTGTAACCGAGGGATACCAACGGCAACAACAAAATTAAACACCGCAATATGGATTCCCACTTTTAAAACAGTTTTTAAATCCCAAAGCTCTCTCTCGCTCTCACTCTCATTCACACAGTTTTAAGTCCCAAGCTGTGCCTTGTCCCTTGGATTAGATCAAGATCACAGAGTCTGCCTTGCCCCCTTGGATTAGATCAAGATCACAGAGTCTGCCTTGTCCCTTGGATTAGATCAAGATCACAGAGTCTGCCTTGCCCCCTTGGATTAGATCAAGATCACAGAGTCTGCCTTGCCCCCTTGGATTAGATCAAGATCACAGAGTCTGCCTTGTCCCTTGGATTAGATCAAGATCACAGAGTCTGCCTTGCCCCCTTGGATTAGATCAAGATCACAGAGTCCGGCTTGCCCCCTTGGATTAGATCAAGATCACAGAGTCTGCCTTGCCCCCTTGGATTAGATCAAGATCAGAGAGTCTGCCTTGTCCCATAGATAAGATCAAGATCACAGAGTCTGTCTTATCCCAAAGATAAGATCAAGATCACGGAGTCTGTATTGCCCCACAGATAAGATCAAGCTCACATAGTCTGCCTTGTCCCATTGATAAGATCAAGATCACAGAGTCTGACTTGTCCCATAGATAAGATCAAGATCACAGAGTCTGCCTTGTCCTATAGATAAGATCAAGATCACATAGTCTGCCTTGTCCCATAGATAAGATCAAGATCACAGAGTCTGCCTTATCCCATAGATAAGATCAAGATCACGGAGTCTGCCTTGTCCCATAGATAAGATCAAGATCACAGAGTCAGCCTTGTCCCATACATAAGATCAAGATCACAGAGTCAGCCTTGTCCCATAGATAAGATCAAGATCACAGCTTCTGCCTTGTCCCATAGATTAGATCAAGATCACAGTCTGCCTTGTCCCATAGGTAAGATCAAGATCACAGAGTTTGCCTTGTCCCATAGGTAAGATCAAGATCACAGTGTCTGCCTTGTCCCAAAGATAAGATCAAGATCACAGAGTTTGCCTTGTCCCATAGATAAGATCAAGATCACAGCTTCTGCCTTGTCCCATAGATTAGATCAAGATCACAGAGTTTGCCTTGTCTCATAGATAAGATCTAGATCACAGAGTCTGCCTTGTCCTATAGATAAGATCAAGATCACAGAGTCAGCCTTGTCCCATAGATAAGATCAAAATCTCAGAGTCTGCCTTGTCCCTTTAGATTAGATCAAGATCACATAGTCTGCCTTGTCCCATAGATAAGATCATGATCACAGAGTCTGCCTTGTCTCATAGATAAGATCTAGAGCACAGAGTCTGCCTTGTCCCATAGATAAGATCAATATCACAGAGTCTGCCTTGACCCCTTAGATTAGATCAAGATCACAGAGTCTGCCTTGTCCCATAGATAAGATCAAGATCACAGAGTCTGCCTTGTCCACATAGATTCAACCAAGATCACAAAGTCTGCCTTGTTCCCTTGGATTTGATCAAGATCTCAGAGTCTGCCTTGTCCAATAGATGAGATCAAGATCATACAGTTTGCCTTGTCTCATAGATAAGATCAAGATCACAGAGCCACCCTTATCCCATAGATGCCCTTAAATAATCAAGAATTTGTTTCATTTTCATCTTACTGAAATGTCTTTCCTGGTATCTCTATTAACTATATAGAAATGCGAAGATTATGAAAGTTAGACGCTCCCATCTCCTTACTCAACAATGAACTTCAGAAGTTCTTCAGGTCGTTCTATCGTTGTACCACTTGACAGCAGCTTTCTGTAATACAAAATATCTTCATATAGTTTCTATCCATCACTATCAGAAGTGTAAGATTCACATAAGTTCTCGGTTCTGCTTTAGTTCACTGTCCTCACTATAACATAGCCCCTTAACACCGAGGAGACACCCAAACTTTGCATCTGTGCCTTTCAGCCATCTGCATTTCTCTGCGATGAAGATCGAGTGTTACCTTCATGAACCTGTCAATGTCGTCTTTCTCTGTTAATCCAAAATCTATTGAGTCCTCACCAGCCATTTGTTTCTTTCGTATCCGACGCTTTTCTGCTTCAACAATCCATCTTCTTAGAGATTAAGATCTTTTTCTCGTGATTCTCTGACGCCACACTTCTCGCTTCTCTTCAATTTGATCTAGAAGAGCTTTCAGATCCCGGTCAGTGTCATTAAAATTTATGCTAGGAACCTGTACCGTACCTCACTTTGTACACGGTCCATGCAAATGAGAATATTTTCACAAAATATCAGCAATGTCAGAAAATTAAAACTGCATTGACACATGACATAATATTTTGTTTCCCTGGTCTCATTCGTATTGCCCGCCATGTCCAGGAAAACATCCAGTATGTTTTCAAGGCACTTTTTGACAGGGTTTACTTCATCTGCCCTTGCATTCCACCTAGTTTCAGATTTTGACTTTACAACCATGGGCATTACATTTTTAAAATTCCCCCCCCCCCCAAAAAAAAAAAAAAAAAAAGTCACGATCATTGGTTACTGTTAAGTTGCATTTAAACCTACTAAATTTTACGAGTGATTATCACATTTGACACACACAGTCAGCTTCTTTGTCTCACTTATTCTTTGTTGGACACCACTCATGTGTCCAGCCGTCACAGTGGCGTTGTCCCATCACTGTGATCTTCTAGCGCCATTTCATTTTTTCTCCAGCCGGTCCAAGATGTTTTCAACTTCCAAGCTCTTAGCGTTCTTCTGGCTTATCTGGATAAAAATCAAGGAAGGACTCTTTAACACAGACCTCTTTCCGCTCAAAATGAACTTCCACGGCACGTGTTTCACAACCTCTTACATCGGATCACGGTGTGCATGATCAGGAGTCGAGTCAAACATGTTTCCATAGTGACTCGGCCGTACGAATGTTTGTCAGTTAATTATGGCGAGCAGTGGATGAATTTATTCTGCACTCCAGGGAAGAGATAAGAAGCTCAGTGGTTCCAGCATGGTCATACACACCTGTCAACTGCTATAGTAAAGTTATTTCATGAGAAGGTGAACCGCAAGACGTTTCAATAAGTCAAGAAAATATTTCCCGCATTGGAGTCATGCTAGTCTTGTTGACGTGATTCTCTGTGTCCACACAAAGCTAGATTTTGAGGTGCAATGAATTTTAAGCAGTGGAGGATTCTTGTCAAGTTATCAACTACACCACTTCTGTTCTGAAGTTCCATGTTGATAACTCTGTTTGCAACTAAATTTCCCTCCAGTTTTGTAGGGTGGCGCGCCCTAACCCCTCTTCAACAAAATGAAACTAATTGCCGTCATTGTGATTCCCCCGATTCCCCCCCCCCCCCCCCCATTAGACGTTGCCACTTTTATTTTTTATTTAAAAAATAATTGATCCCCCCTCCCCCCGTTTTTTTTTTCAAATAGTGAGCGCCAATGGCATCTGCCCACCACCTGTCATACCCTAGGTACGCCACTGTGTGTGTTTGTGTATGTGTGTGTGTGTGTGGGGGGGGGTGTTGAGAGACTCTTTATGCCATTTTATGTCATCTTGCACGTAAAATGTTATGACGTAAAATAAATATTGATGTGATATTGATGTGCGTATCACATGGAGAATAAATAACAAAAATGTCATAGAGGGATTCTGAGACTGAGACATTGTCTAAATTTTCACGTTTTGATAACAGCAGGAATGAAATGAGATAAAAAAAAAATATTTAAAAAAAGTAATAAGTGTCAGCTAATGATGACGTAAGTGAATGTGATTACCCCCTCTTTTTTAAATCTATCAGTAGGTATCAGTCATGATTAAGACATTAAAAAAAGGGTTGACTTGAAATAATTGAATTTGAACTCAAATTTTGAGTAAAAGTCCAAGTAGGGACATCATTTATTTATCAATATTATCAATAATATCAATATCGGATTGGTAGTGGTTATTTTTTTTAAATTTTAAATTGGGAATGATAATTGCTAGCGGTAAAAAACACTTGTAAAAATTGACTTATTGGGAATAACATTGAACATAATAACTGTATAAAATACATTTTAAATTTGCAATTACATTGTATAAAGAGAAACATTTTTCATGTTAGCGACCGTTGGATTGGGCATTTTGTGATCTGGACTAAGACACCAATAACTGGCTCACAATTGACCATTATCCATAATCCCCTTTTATTTTTAAAAGGGAATTCCCTTTATATTATAGAACATATCTCACTTCCGGGTAGGGAAATTCCGACATATTTTTTAATAATGTGATAAGTAATTTTACAGGCCTACATAACTTTCTTAAATTCAACCATCCATTTTCAGGGAGTATTCCCATTTGTACGTTTTATGTCTGTATTTTTGGAAAGTTTTTAGAGCAAAATTGTATTTTACTTGATGTAGTTTGTAATCGGTTATCAATAAGGTCAATTTGAAATTTTAATTAAATTGTAAAAAAAAAAAAAATGTAAGTTGTTTGAATTGAAATTAATGAAATTGAAGGGCCTAGGCCTATGCCTAGTGACAAGTGCTCAAACGTCACATTTTTGTCAAATTGAACTTTTTTTTTTTAAACAGTATCAAGTTTAGCCAAGTGTACGACAGAAATTTGAATACATTAAAATGTAGGCCCTACCCAAATCCCTTAACTAAACACGACAAAATATGAAAATGATCACGTTTTTACGGTTTTATAGGCGAAAAGAATATTTGAACGTGATTATCTCAAAATGAGCATTTTGTGACATAAGTTTAAGTCTTAGGCACCAAGTACCAAGGTCTTCAATTCTAAAAATTAAATTAGTTCAAATTAAATGTTAAGACTAAGACAAAGTAACTGGCTTGTTAAGTTACCAAATAACAAACTTGTGGTTGTGGACTAAAATTTACTATATTATAATTATAGGGCCGTCATTTTCATAATTAAAGTAAGACTAATTGTATTAATTATTAACAATGCAGAAATGCCACTCCTCTGCTTGAAATGGGGGTGGTAATCCAGGTATACTTAGCTTGCCCGACCCAGCGGCACCAACTCTATCGATGTCACTTCTTACATTAAGAAGTATTTTTACCTAGTATGCTTTGTTTTGTCAAGTTTTGCAGTAGGGCCTACTTTCTACAATTTCTGAGAATGTTTATTTATTCATCCCTTGTGAATACACAATGTGTAAAAAATTGATATTAATAAGTGTTTTATTTCTGCAGTTTTATATTGATAAATTATGTCTGACAAAGCACCAATGCCAGAAGCACCTGAAGCTGAACCATATGCTAGGATTGAATTTCATCTGCAAATGCAACCTCATGGCACAGTCACACTTCATCAGGTATAGGCCTACAGGAATTAGAAATTTTCATAGCATTATTAGCTTTCTCCTTATACATTTTACTTTGTCATAAAAATGATTTATTTCTCATATTTTGGCGTATTGTAAAATTTCTTGTTTATTTCTAAAAAATACATATACCATTAAGATTTACCATACAGTGTAGGCTTACAACTTACAATACAATGTGCAGCATTTATCACTAAGCTGATTCAATTTTGTACAATTACTTTTAAGCAAAAATGGAAACTTGGAATTAGTTGTTCATTTGCAAAATATCTTTCTTTATGTCACTTTGATAAAAATAAAAGTTAAAAAATATGTACTTCTCTATATGGTAGACTAACATTTGCACAGGCTTAATGAAGGCTCTGGAGTTAATATGTATTTTTTTTACCTTTTAAATTAGGCCTGTACAACTCAAAATGTAAGGCGGGCCATAATAATTTATGAAATACTTGTGCGGACCAAAAGATAATGGGACGGGAAGGGGGGAAGCTGTTAAGAAAATAATAATAATAATAGAGAATATTTTGTTACTTCGCGCGCCAAAATGTGTAAATATAAAAGGAATTATAACACTCATCAACTTACAATGGGTATTAATTAATATCACTAAGATAATTAAATGTGAAGTTTCCATGTTTGACAAAGAAAAATGTTTCATTTTTTTTACATTGTAAGATGTCCATAAATATAAAACAAAAATAAATTATTCTAAATTTTTAATTACCGCGCTACTTTGTTTTTCTCTTTATGAAATGTATATACAGATTTATGATTTGCAGGCTGACTGTGGAACTCAGACTCTAATTGGTGCACTAAAGGAAGATTTGAGAAATTTGGTAATTTGAAAAATGTTTCTCCTTGGTGACTTTAAATTAAAATTAGTAAATCTGTTTTGGGGAGTTTTCTGTGTGGGTGGCTGGGTAGCTCAGTTAGTTAGACCCAGAATTTCTTTCTGTAATCATACACAAAATAATTTAATACTGGTCACCAGTGCATGCTGCTCTGTCCCAAAAATTTTGTTTTTGTCTTGGTTAAAGTTTAATCTGTTGTTTTTTTCTTGCCATGTTCACAAGCTATGTTTATTTTTACACTGCATGAGATGTGTCACCTATTGTAAATAATATTTAATAGACACTTTAAATTTTAAAATTCCAGAATGATCTGTGTCAAAATTTGATAATAATTTAAAAAAGCGACTAGGCAAGATGAAGTTGCCTGCAATAATTCAACTTTCTATAGTTTAAGGAAATGGGCTGATTACAAATTATACTCCCAAAAACATTTCTTGTCAATTTGAATAATAAAAGGGGTACTACTAAAAAAAAAAGTATAGGTCACAGCACTGATGGTTGCTTTATAACAAAACTCTATTTCATTATGCTCCTTTGTTTTTTCTTCTTTTAGTTTGGTGACCCGAAAGATCAGTCATGGTTTTTAAGAGATACAAGTTTGCTGAATGAAAAGACATTAGAGTACTATGGCATAAAAGGAATTGATACAAATTCTAGAAATCCAACTAAGATACTCGTTAAAAGTTCAAAATAAAAAACAATTTAAAATATTATCTTATATAATTTCGCTAATATTTTTATCTTTGTTTTTTTGTCTCCAAAAATGAACAAAGTATTCCATACACAGCCAGAGTCAACATTTTAAAAGAAACCTGAATTCTGCCATAATTTAAATGTTTGGAAAATGAATTTTCCTTTCAAAATGATGTTTTTAATTTGTCCAGCATATTTATTGGAAAAATCTTTCAAATTATTTATTGCAGAATTATTTGTTCTTCTTCATAATAAAATTATTATAAAAAAAATAAAAAAATTTTTTAAATTTTAATTTATCTATGACAACAGCTTCAAAAATAAAATTTTTCTTATTGTGTAAAATATTAAAAGTAAAGGCAGGAAAAGAGCTCAATGCATGTTATAATAAACATCTCTAGGAGTCTCAAAGCACCAGCAACATTGTATTTGCTACACCGACTTGACCCGTTTAAAAATAAATAAATTAATCAATTTTCATGCACAGAGTCTATTGTTTATGTTTTATTAATTTAAGGCTAAATTATTATTGTTTTTTTTTTAATGTGCTTGAATTTGAAGCATTGCAAATTGTTGAGTGTGTAAAGAACAGACAAAAAAAGTAGGATGGTGTAACCATCAATTATTAAAGATTAAATACTAAATAACTCTTTTTGTTTAGATGCCATAGAGCATTTGTACATGTCATATAATTAGGATGTCAGGACTTACTTGTTTTAAAAAAAAAGGATTAATGTTAACGTCTCTAACAACATTTAGTTTTGAGAAATATGTATGTGCTATTTAATATAGGCCTATCCTAACCCTTTTCGCACCCCTGAAATATGGTTTCATTTTCTCTAAAAATTGTAAAAATGTCCTTAAATTTACAACAAAAAAACTATATTACCATATTAAATATCTGTAACATTAACGGAATTTGATATTATGGTATCTTCGTTAAAAATGTAACCAAACTTTTTCCTTGGTTCTCTACTATATTATCGGAAAATAGTAAAACACATAATTCTTTTATCTATAGGAGAATCTCTAGGACCATTTTCACGTCTTTAATAGCTTTAAGTTTTTTTTTTAATTAAAAAATATATTTTTCTTCTTCTTCTTCTTCTATATCTTAAGGGCCCACAATCAATTTATTGATCATTTTGGCTCCTATGCATGTAGATGGGATTTGCAATGTTTCTGTTACTGGTGGTGATGAGGAAATTATGCACTAGGGGTTTGAAGGCTTGAGGCAATAGACACAAATGTGTCTA